TCACCTGGATGACACGCGGGCGTGTAAAAGCGAACATTATTATAATGATTGTTGTTGTTGCTGTTGTTGCTGTTGTTGCTGCTGTTGATGTTATTGAATTCTCATTCCTGCAGAAAAAATATTCTTGATCCCCCCCACCGGTGCATATTGTTTTTCTCAATCAAAGTGTGCCCCTCGACGCTCGCACCCTGTTTTTGACAGGGGAAAGTCTTCCTGCTCAAACTGAGCCCCTGGCCCCCGGGTTACAACAATCACGGCTCCCGCCTGAGACTTCGTTACAATTGAGCCAGGACCCCCGCTCCCGCCCGAGACTTCCTCGCATGTTATTCAGGAATCGCGCTCTCGCTTGGGACTTCCTTACAATTTATTCAGGAATCGCTCTCCCGGCGCTCTGGAGTCGCGCTCTCGCTGGAGACTTGCTTGCAACTTACTGAAGAATGGCCTTGCGTTGGAATTCCCTGCAATTTGCCCAGGCGCCGCGCTCCCGACACCCAGGCACCCAGGAGTCGCGCACGTTGTGGCCCCATGTGCATGCCCTTCGTGGCCACGCTGTCGCAATTTGTGTCCCCCTCTGTGTCCTACGTGGCCCAGTTGCTACCCTCAGTGGCCCCATTGTTGCCTTCTGTGGCCCCGCATTATCTGCACTTCGTGGCCCCCGGTCGTTCGCGCTCTTCGTGGCCCCATACGCATTCCCTTCGTGTCCCCGCTGTCGCCCTTCGTGGCCTACTTCGTGCCCTTCGTGCCCCTGCTGTGATTCTCACTCGCTCTCGCTTTCGCTCGTCGTCGCCGTCGTCGTCGCCGTCGTCTTCGACGTCGTCGTCGTCGTTGTCGTCGTCGTCGTGGTCGGTCCCCTGTCCGTCCCTCGTGGGGTCGGGTCGACGGTCCGCGGCCGCCCCGCCGATCAGCACTGCCGCTGGCCAGGCCGACGGTCCGCGGCCGCCCCGCCGCTTGCCGGGGCCCGGCCTGCAGGGAAGAAAGGTATACCCCCGAAAAGGGGTTCGAGCGGGTATCGAGGCTTTGGGAAATACGCGTCATTGGACACTCGAGCATATAAAGGCGAACAGTTTTAATATTATTATTGTTGTTGTTGTTGTTGTTGGTGGTGGTGGTGGTGGCGGTGGTGGTGGTGGTGGTGTTGTTGTTGTTGTTGTTGCTGTTGTTGTTGTTGTTGTTGTTGTTGTTGTTGTTGTTGTTGTTGTCGTTGCTGTTGTTGAACACTATTACTTCTAAAGAATTATTATTGTTGGACCCCCTGGTGCACGCCCCCCGCCCAAAACCTAGGCCGCAGCTACATTCTCATCATTTTTCTGCGAAAGCTTCAGAAAAGTGGATTGCCCCCGGATCCGGTTTTTTGTTGACGCTCGTTTTCCCTTGCAAAAAACAATAGAAAATGAAAATTCTTGTTCTTAGTTGATCAAATTTCAAGAATCCCTTGCAAAAAATAAGGTAAAGTGGACATTCGCGCTCGCAAGACGAAATCCTTCCAAAACCTTAGGTTTCGTAGCGATTTTAACATAAAAACATCAAAAACCCAATGGTTTTTTAAGAAAAAATTGTCAAAATGTCCTTCCGCGCGCTCTTGCGGATTCATAGGAAACACACCACTTTTTAAACATTTCTGTCAAAAGGGTCTTTGCGTGCTACTTCAGGTGCTTTGAACGACGCACCTTGTATACATGTGTTTCTCTCCCTCCGTCTGGCTGTGCACGCGCGCGTTGGGCACTGAGAGTTAGGATCATAGCGCCATGAGTCTATGAGCAATGCATGCGTCATCCTTGGGACTGTATAACATCAGTGTAACACATGTACTTCTGTAATCGCATCCCCACGAATTTGCCCCAAAAATGTGACCAACTATCTTGGCACTGCGTACCATCTCACGTGTACCGTGTACCACATCATATGTAACAGATGTGATCAACCTCTGTGGGTGTGTACCCCACGCCAGTGTAGTAGCCAGGGTCGTCCGCACGCCACGAAGTGAAGTGTCCCAACGTCATAGGGCGGGAAGCTGGGTGTGGGTGGTCTCGAAGAGTCGTTTGGATATTTGGTAGAGCTTGAACGGCCCCCCCACGAAGTGGGGGTATTGGCTGGTGTCGCAAGAAAACCCTGGCACTGGGGAGAACACTGAGCGTTCGGGTAAAATGATTGTTGTTGTTGTTGTTGTTGGTGTTGTTGTTGAGTTTTCATTTCTGAAGAATAATTATTGTTGATCCCCACTCACCGGTGCATACTTTTTTCTCAATCAAGTGTGCCCCTCGACGCTCGCACACTGTTTTTTGACAGGGACCGCCAGCCCTCTGGGCGTCGGTGGTTTAGGGCGTTTCCTCTTCCACCCCTCCCTCTTCCCCTTCGGGGAGAGGTTTACCCCTCCCCCTACCCCCTCCCCACTGACCTGGACAGGAGGGGCGGGGAGCGGTCAGAGCGTCCAAAACGGCCTCGGCGAGGAAGCCAACATCATTGATTATACTGTGGTTTTGGCCCCATGTTTGGCCTTCTG